TCAGAAAACCACTGATGAGGTATACCGCGTATACCGTAATGGTACAGTTTTTTAAGTAAAACATGGTGGTCGATGGTGTCAAATGCCTTAGATAGATCCATAAACAATCCATAACAAAACATTCCATTATTAATTTCATGTAGAATATTTTTAGTAAAATTCACAATACTCAGATCAGTGCTATGGTTTTTACGAAAACCAAACTGTTCTGAAATAAGAACATTATATTTCAGTAAATAATCATATAACCTTTTATGCATTACTTTTTCCAACAGTTTTGCAAAAACAGAAAGCAAGGCTATGGGTCTATAATTTTCTATATTTTTAACATCATTTTTTTTGTATAAGGGTACAATTTTGGCAACTTTTAATTTATCTGGGACGATTCCACTATTTAAAGATTTATTAAATATGTCACACAATGGATTAACAAAAAAATGAATACAATTTTTAACAACTTTAGGTGAAATGCAGTCAGGTCCACTTGACTTATCTATTTTTTAACAGAGAAGACAGTTTGATAATTTCATGAATACTTGTTGATTTAACATAAAATGAATTTAAATTTGGGTTAACAAGGTATTTATCATAAGAGTAATTAGGTGTTTGAATCGATTTTGATAGTTGTTTACCTATGTCAATAAAAAATGTATTAAACTCTTTTGCAATATCTTTCCTACTACTCATTTTTATATTTCCGTGATACATATTTTGAGGTAGTTTATTCTGTTTCTTTTTGCCAAGTATCATATTGATCTGCGACCATGTTTTTTTCATATCATTCTTTAAGTTATAAAACAAGACCCGTAATATTTCCTCTTTGACGCTCTTATGATATTTGTTAATTTATTTTTATAATCTAAATATTTTCTTTTATGATTGACACTAGGTCTTTTTAAGCTATTTTCATATAATCTATGTTTACGTTTCACTGAATTCAATATTACTTGCGTAATCCAAGGTTTCCGTAAATTACCATTGAGTTACAGGTTCACTGTATAAGTTCCAATTTCTAGAGGTTGAGGATATAATTCAAAATTTGAAATTACCCTCTAGTTATATGGTACAAAGAAAACTTGGATGCAAACACATCCATCGTTCTTGTTTGTTTTGGTATTATTCCCTCTATCTAGAGACTGATGCTATTTCCAATGATAGAATCACTTGTTATTTCTAAAAACATGCCTTTTAATCTAATGATGTGGCACGGAGGAAAGTAGGCTTCATGTGCCCCTGTATCTTTCTATGTTGGTGTCGATTTCGTATCCCGAGGATCTTAACACAGTTTCTTGAATTAGAATTACTATTTTGTTTACATAAATTCAAATTATTAGAAGTATCTCCTTCAAGCGATTCCAATTCATAATTGTATGGTGCAGGTTGTTTACTTCTGTGATCATTGTTCTGAAATAAATTCCTGCACTAACATAATATTTGTACTTCAACCCTGGATCGAATGCTATACTTAATCCTAACATAACCTAAAAATATTCTAACCATAATTGCAACCTTATATATTAATTTGATGAATGAAATTGTCACAGGAGCATTTGCTAGAGGGCAGGTCGTCTTTATACAGGTGGCCGCTAAAGCAGGTTTTACTATAAACTTCCTCTATGCAGACATTCATAAAGAATACCTCATTTGTAATTACTCTTTTTATTTTTCAAAGAATCCTCGTATTGACAAATGATTACAAAGAGAATACAGGGATTCAAACTTATCTATCCTATGTGTTCTTTGGTATAATCTCCACTAGGTATAGAAACTTATGTAATTTCAAATTTTGAATTACTCTGTTCATGTGTTATTTATATAGAATATGCCTTTGAACTCATTTATATAGCATATATACCACATGACACATGTGCTTCAAATTAATATACATCTATCTTTTTATTTTGGTATTTAATCCTTATTCTGAGGTTCCTTAAACACAGTTTCTAAATTCACACTTATTTTTTTCAAGCAGTTTCAATTGTGCATTTTATGGGTCATGAAAAATATGATTATTGATTTACATATTATGATTAGATATTTGAAAAGGTTATGTTTTGTGACTTGTCTAAGACATGAGCCAATATGAATTTGATTTTATTTTTGCATTGTTTATTGGACTGAGCAAACAATTTGACATGGCTTAATGACCCCTTATATTAATTTGTAATTTGTAATTTTTTAACCTGCCTTCATAACAGTGCTACGTTTTTTAGTTTACCTCAATTCATGTTATTCTATTCACGAAGCTGACATCAGCCAGCTTTAAAACACTTTAGATCCTTTCAAAGCTCTGAAACCCCCCTAGATCAAATGAACAAAAACAAAAATGAATACTTAAACAATATATATTGCTTCCAATTCTTCAGACCTGTTGTTCAGACCCAAAACGATGCCCTGTTCCCCTCAGAAGTTGATTAATTATCTCAGTTTCACTTTGGCTAAAAATGCCAAACTACTGTAACCTTCTCTAACCCCTGTTTAATGCAATTGTAATGCCTATTATTTAGCCACAAGGGAATGCAAGTCAAAGTAATACTCTGGAATCATATGTATAGCCGCACAAAACAACATGGATGATTGTCAACACCTATCTCCGCCCTTTTCTCCTCTTCTTCTGGCTTTCCTTCGAGGGAAATTTGACCCATATCAAATGACAAACATCCATCTTCTCCTTCGGCTGAAATCATATCATATTTTTTTAATCTGAGGACTCTAGGGAGGATTAGCTTTTGTGCAGATCACAAACACTATTTTTTACCTGACTTGTTTTTATTTATCTTTACTTAAACCCATAGAGAACGGTAATTTTTTATGTTACAGGCATTTTATATGAGGTTGAGACCGAGTTTTTGTGCGGTGAGGTGTTTGTAGAATAATCCTCTCTTGTTGAAGAATGTGAAAGTGTTTTACAATAATATAATAAGCAAATTTGAAGGTGAACTTACATGTGTAATACTAGCTTTGCTTGTTGATAGAAAGATATGAACTAATGCCTTCGGTCTCACAAGATAATGAGCACCTGCATTTGGCAGTTTTCCATATCATAAACACAATCAAAACTACTTTAAAAAAACCCAACTCAGGGTAATTTCAATAGCTATAGTACGTGTATATCCCCTAGAAATATTGTTTGGAATTCTTTGGATAATGTATGAATACCTCATTGTAATATATGCACGTTTCTAAAAGTGATTGACAAGGCTATTGTAGTTGCCTTAAGTTGATTTTTAAGTATAGTTGCAATTTTGTTCATAGTAAACAGTTTTCCAGAAATGCATATTTTTGTTATACACAAGGTGATTATAAGTAGATTATACGTAATTTGTGTCGTGCGGTACCAGGTTGCGTGATGTTCATCATGAACATCTGCTGAGAGCAATGTTTATTCCATTCAATCAATATTTGCTGAAGCTCTTGACTTTCATGCCTTACATTTTATTTGTACTTAAGAATGATTGTAAATTAGGTTCAAGGTCAGGATATTTTAAAGGGGTGTAGCATGGCACAAATACTGGTTAACGCCATCTACGACTTCTTTAGGACAACTGCACATAAATGAATGGACTTGATTAACAATCAGTGCTAGCGTTCGCACACAGACCAAATTTCTCCTCACGCTTCGGTTTCGCATATGTTGCATGTACATGAATTCTGCGGTCGTGTCGTCCATAGTTGTAATATGCCCGATTGGGCCTGAGTCAGGCGACGGGAAAGACACCTAGTCTTGTCATGCTACAGCCCCTTTAAGGGTTAGTCCACCCTGATATTTAGTTAGTTTTAGTAAATGTAGAAAATAGGAGAAGTAATTAAGTGAATGATTGAGCAAAATCTGATTTATAAAAAAACCAAGAAAGTTTTAAAGTTTAGACGTTGTTATCAATCAAATACAAATTGGTAATGCTGTGACATATCTTATGGGCTCCTCTCCCATTTGCTCTGAACCAAAATTTTTTTTGTGAAGGAATAGATTTGTTTTATGCAGAGGCTGTGTAAAAACATATTTGTAATGATGATATACAGAGTGCATGTATGATATGATTTTTTTTAGGGAGCAAATGGGAGGGGTGTTGGCAAGATGCATCTCAGATGATGCCAATTTGTGTTGATCGATTGCAAATATTTAAATCCAAAACTTTCTATATTCAAAGGTAAAGACCAGTATTGGAAACGCCCCAATTTAAAAAATTGAAAGGGAAGCTCTTATTACCAATCATGTGAAAGAATATGTTTTGACTTTTATGCATGTACATGATGATAAAAAATTTCTTAGGAAACCGCCTACTAATTGATATATTTGGTAAATTAGTTTATCTATGGTCTGTGAGAGATAAACACACGGGTCGCGCACGTGTGCATATAGTCCCATATACATCTTTCTGTGTACAGTGCTTGTAACTCTACGAAGACTGGGCTAAATTTCTTATCATTTTGATGATTACAGAACCTTGCAGTACACACCAATACTTATATGCTAGAGGAGCAACCTTTTCTGATTGATTCCACAATGTTTCTTTCACAATGCAATCGCATGACCATAACTGGTCTTTACCTTTAATATAATTTTTCTCAAACTTTCATTGATCTTTGCCTCTGGTTTTTGTGCTTCTACAAAAAAACCAACTTACAATCAGGGTGGACTTCCCCTTTAAAAATGAATATATATACCTAACTGATATTATGGATAATAACTTACAGTACACTAACAACGCTTATCTGTGATACATGTAAATTCTTGTAAATGAGAAGGTTACAATTTCACAAATTTAGAGTCATTGCAATGTTGTTGATCTTTTATCTTACTTTTTCAATGCATAATTAGTCCGTGCGAGCGATTTCGATCAATCGTTCACAAGCATCCAAATCAAAGCTTGAATAAGCTTGCTCAAATTGGCCTTGTCACTCAAACCACGTCCTTGTATACTTGACGTGATTTGAGAGTTCTATGCAAATATTTGATATTTCTAATTGGGTTTTCTCTCTCATTAATACCCCATGTGCAGCAAGAGGAGTATAAGGTCTTATCTCCAAAGCAGAGGCAGACGGGTGTAGATGACACATCAGATTTCCCTGGAGGTGAGTGATTATGCCCCCCCCCCTCCCCCAGGAAGAAGAAAAAATACAATAATTAAATATGCAAGAATGAATAAAATATTGAAATGAGAAATAAAATATATATTTTATCAGGCTTCTGGTACTGACAGGGAAAAGATTCCTGTAGAATTAAGTTCAATTTAATTAATCAAATTTTGACAACTAAAAGTAGTATTGCCCCAGTCGTAAAAAAATAGGAAAAAAATAGGGGAAAAATAAGGAAAAAATAGTCCCGAAAATATATTTTTTTTCTATTTTTTCCCTATTTTTTTTAAAGGAAAAAATAGGGAAAAAATAGTTTTGGAAATAGGAAAAAAATAGGTTTGAAACAATTTTTTCTATTTTTTTCCTATTTTTTTCCTATTTTTCAGACCTAAAAATAGGAAAAAAATAGGGAAAAAATAGTGTTGAAAATGGTGAAGAAAATAGTAAAAAAAATAGTGATAACTAGGTGCTAGTGGACAGTGAAAAATAGTGAGGAAATAGGAAAAAAAATAGTGAGGAAATAGGAAAAAAATAGTAAGAAAATAGGGAAAAAATAGTAAGAAAATAGGGGAAAATAGTAAGGAAATAGGAAAAAAATAGTAAGAAAATAGGAAAAAAATAGTAAGAAAATAGGAAAAAAATAGTAAGAAAATAGGGGAAATAGTAAGAAAATAGGAAAAAAATAGTAAGGAAATAGGAAAAAAATAGTAAGAAAATAGGGAAAAAATAGTAAGAAAATAGGGAAAAATAGTAAGAAAATAGGAAAAAAATAGTAAGGAAATAGGAAAAAAATAGACAATAAGTGAGGAAATCAGAAAAAAATAGTCAGGAAATAGGGGGGGGGGGGTCACTCATCCTTTACTTTCATGGATTTCTCAAGCACTACCATCTCACACATCCAGTCAACGACTCTGTACATTCAATTAAATCATACAGTGCAAACTTGATATAAAGAGATCAGTTATACCTGAAATGACAAGGTAATTTAACAGCTTTTGGGGGTTAAGATTTCTTGGTTGCACATGACCTCATTGTCAAAAGTTTCCACTGTAGAATAGTCACCCTACTCCTACAGCTCTTTTCTCTGCACCGATGCACCTACTCAGTTTGCCAAATTCACTTCATCCTTTCAGTCCAATCCATTCAGTCGAACATTTAAAATAGTCAATGGGTATATGGAAAATGTTATACAGTCCACTCCTATTATAACGAACATGGATACACCAAGATTTTATTATCAGGCAATTCTCATCAGTCCCAATTTTAAACAAACCAATGTGTTCAGTAACTTGAGTATAACATGATTTCATTTTAACAAGGAAATTGGCTTGGTCCCGAGCACCTCGTTATAATGGCAGTGGACTGTAACAAACAAAAAGAATAAAAGGGAACGTGTCAAATAAAATACATGTACTTTATTTTCGAGAGGTAAACACAATGACATGAGTTTAGTATAGTATGTGTGTTCATGTAAGCAAATAAATAAAAGAACTTAACTGATATTTACCATCCTAGGTTAAGTACTGTAGTGTACATGTTGTAGTAATAGAGTTGTTCATGGTTTGCTATGATTATACTCTAAAAAAAAAAAACAAGACAAATGCGACTGCGTCTCCTATATGCCTCCGCCTTAAAAAAATATCATCCACCTAGAATGTAGCTTTCTATTTTTGTTCAAATAAAGTATTCAGGTGAGTTTCAGGACTATTACTGAGCCGATGTGGATATGCCAGGCGATCACAAGCTCTCTCCCTCACTAGTAACCAAATAAAGCAGTATTCTTGACATGAGAGTGTTGTTTTCTGTCTCTTTTATTACAATTTAATTGCAAAGTGCTCTTAATAATGTAATAACATTTTCAAACCTCAAGAAAATCATGACAAGTAAAAAAAAAATTCTCGTTATTTACAAAGATAACAAAATAAAATAAATCATAAAACAGATTTTTCAAAAATGCATGCATGCTCTATTGTACAGTTGACATGTTACATAATTTTCTCAATCTCAATTGAACTGTCAAAATCTTAATACAATCATCATAATCTAGAAACACTTACTACAAAATCAATGACATGTCATGTCATTGAGATAAATGACAGACTTACATGCTACTATTTTCAAATAGTTTTACAAAGTATACCATCATTACCATGTATCATAAGTAATGGTCTTATGGTCCTTTATCTTCACAATATGCAGGCACTCATTGTGTACACATACATGTTGTACTTGCCTATGAATCTCAATGATTAGACATAAGAATTACATAATAAAATGGAAACAAATACTAATGTAAAGGATACAGATGTTGGTCATGCTGTTCACAGGCATCAAATGGTGATTGTACGTTACATGTACATTGTAGCTTGATTAGTTTCAATTGATCTGTAAAGATATAAATGAAATGTGAGTTGGGGGTTAGAATAATCATGCATTGGTACATTTATGAACATGCAATTAATACTTAGTACAAGTATTTATGTATTTCATAATGAAAAATTCAAAGGCACAGAACATGTGTGTACAAAAGTATGATAGCAAAAAAGATGCCAGGCTGACGACGAACGGATGGTGAAACAACGGAGTCATCAAAGAGCTGTCAAGGTGCATGAAATGTAAACCACTCAGGTAGGCAATTAATTAGAGTTATTTTATTCTTAGATATATTGGGTGAACATACATAAAATAAAACATAAAACACAGAAAAGAAAATAGTAAAGGAACAATTTGTTGAAGAAAAAAATAAAAAGGAAAGAGAAAAATAATGTAGATCTAGGTAGAACTTGTGCCACCTGCAAATTATTGTTCTAGCATAATGATGAGGTAAACTACTCTAATATTTTGATGTCAGATCTTAACTAACAAACATGAAATAAATAAACCCAAAAAAATTATCAACAATAGATTTAGATTTCTACTTAGTAAGGACATACCTCGCAGACACACTCTCGGACTTGGAAGACTTGCTCTTCTTCTTGCGTGGTGCTTTAGCAGGTTGTGTTTTCTGATTCCTACAAAAATAATTTGAGATACAATTTAGCCTAAAACCACATCAAAACATTATATCATGCAAGGCAAAATAATTGACAGACGTAGTAATGGTACAAAATCTGAAATTTTTTACGTGGATTTATTGTAATCACGTTTGTTTACATTCACTCATTCACTAACAGACACTACACTGCACTTGGAGATTCACTACACTTCACTAAGAAGTTGTGTAGTCTACAACCTCAACACTAGTACATGGGAATATTGATACGTAAAATAACATTCTATAGGCCTATTATGTCTATGAAGTAGCATTATATTCAACAACAGACACAATAAAAATATATATATCATAATATAATTAAGTTTCAGAAATAAACGTACCTTTTCAGCTGTTTTCTGGGGCCAGTTCCGCTCGTCGATGGTCCGTAATTCGACAACAAACTCGTTTCTCTACGAGTGGGACTAGTAATATTTTGAACATTTGTCGGGCTCATTTTCTTGGGAAGAATCACTAAAATGGGATAAGGAGGCATCGGAGTATGAGGAGTCACTATCTCTTGATGAAATTTCATCGCTAGAATAATTGCTGGAAGACATTTTGGTGTGATTTGGAGACGTGTTTGATGAACGAAAATCAGCAAAAGTCCGATGCGCACAGCAGTGAAAAAAAATAACGGGTAATTTTCAAATTACGTACTTGCGTACTGTCCTCTACGTTGAAACTTTGCGCACACATAGAACGGGAATATCTCGATCGAATGCTTTTTTTTCTATTAATAAAGGAGATTTTTTTTGGTTGAAATTTCTATGTGTACATTTTCTTTTTACACATGGTTTATGTATGGTTATCTTTGAGTGCACTAGTCACTACTATAGTTTGTAAATAAAATCAAGAATATTAATAAAGGAACAAAATTGAAATTTCGTACATTTTCTTTTTACACATTGTTTATTTTTGGTCATCTTTGAGCTCACTATTCAATATGTGACCCCACAGCTAAAAACAACCAATAAGTCGCAAAATGAACAACAGAGATAATGGCAGGAGAAGCGGGCTTTTTGAATAGGATGCCAGTCATAAACAATGAAAATATGCAAGTTTAGAAAATAGACAAAAAATAGTTTACAAATTTGTATCATGTCATAAAAAATTTAAGTGCAAAAAATAGGAAGAAAATAGTACTCGCAAATAGGTAAAAAGAAGTCTGAAAAAGATAAAGGTGAAAAAATAGGGAAAAAATTGTCTGAAAAAGATTAAGGTGAAAAAATAGGGAAAAAATAGTCTGAAAAAGATTAAGATGAAAAAATAAGGAAAAAATAGTCCTATTTTTTTTGAGAAAATAGGCAAAAAATAGTCTGAAAAAGATGAAGGTGAAAAAATAGGGAAAAAATAGTTTGGTATTCGAGAATAGGAAAAAATAGAACTATTTTTTTTCTATTTTCTTTTAAAAAAATAGGAATAAAATAGTCCACAAAAGTTGAAGGTAAAAAAAATGGGGGAAAAATAGTTTGTGCTTGAAAATAGGAAAAAAATAGGACTATTTTTTTCCTGTTTTCTTATAGGAAATAGGAAAAAAATAGTCTGAAAAAAAATATAGGTGAAAAAAATAGGGAAAAAATAGTTTGTACTTGAAAATAGGAAAAAAATAGGACTATTTTTTTTCCTGTTTTTTTTATAGGAAATAGGAAAAAAATAGTCTGAAAAAAAATATAGGTGAAAAAAATAGGGAAAAAATAGTTTGTGCTCAAAAATAGGAAAAAAATAGCCCTATTTTTTTCCTATTTTCTTGAAGGAAATAGGGAAAAAATAGTCTGCATTTCCAGAAAATAGGGAAAAAATAGGAAAAAAATAGGGAAAAAATATATTTTCGCAACACACAAAACTACTAGGGTGTTGTGTGCCCAACCGTTTAAATAAATGTGGAGGCAGCAAATGTACATATTGAAGAAAAGTGCATTCCAAATGTATTTTTAAAATATTTGTTTGTCTGTTTACTTTAATACAGACATAAATATTATATATTACAAAATATTTCAATCCCATATTGTTAACAGTAACAGCTTATCAATTCAGCCATCAAAACAAACAAGTTTGGAAATTTCTCAAAATGTGTTAGTGCAAAAAATGTTTGCTGTTTCCGTAATTTCCCTGTGATTTTCTGTAATTTTATTCAATGTTGCTGTTTTCACCGGTAACGTGTGCTTGTCCCCTTCTGATAGGAAAGCAACCGTAATGATACAGACCAAATGATTTTGGTTGAAAATATATAATAAAAAGTAGATGAGTGATGAGCAACAAAAGAAATAATTGAGCTAGACATCCAGGGCAGCCAGTTTCATAGTTGCCAATTTGAGTATTGCTTGTCTGTGAAGATGATTTCCAGCTAGTTTTCTCTCGAGAATTTGTATGCCTATGCTAATAACTCATATTGATGTGACTTGGAAACGATGAATTCTCTATTCTCAGTCTTTTTTCTTATTTGTCACCCCCAGTTGTATTAAAATTTAACACATAATTTTCCAATCTAGAGAAATTTGAAATTCTGAGCATGTCTGCTTGTGCCAAAGTCATTTAAAAAAAATTGATTTACACTGTACATGGCGAGTATCTTGACATCTTACTCAGACGTTTCTGAAGTAATAATATTTGCATGTACGTGAGCATCTTATTCAATTCTGTTTGTTTGTAATGTTGTTACCTTCTTAAAATAATGGCATAAGTCACATTTTGAAGAAAATTATATTTTGCCCAAGTCATCTTTTCACAAGGCTATCCACATTTATTAAATGGAATATGTGCTGAACATATTCATGCTGCTTATACCCAGTTAGTATAATGGTCTAAGTCGAGCGTGTGAAGTAAAAACACACACACACACACACATATATATATATATCTATACATATAATATTGAGAAAACCCAAAGTAAATGAATAATCTAATCCTCTTATGAAACAGAATAGCATTAATTGTATTTCAATAGTCATATCATATATATATTTTTTTAATATAATTTATTCTATGTTTGGTTCAGTTTTCTCTGATTTCTCAAATCTTGAAAATATGACTTTAAATTATGGCCATCATTTAAACAAGGTGACAATGTGATAAAGTTCGCCTTTGAAATGAATGTCAAATTATACAGTTGTTTCTGGGGGGGGGGGGGGGATGAAAATAAGCATAATCGTAGATTAATTCTTAATTGTTTTTTTAATGCAGTTGATTGGTTGATTAAACAAAAGGATATGAAAAAATTAAGAAATCTTGCCAAAATCAAGTTTGTATAGAGACCACAACACATTGATATAGAGAGAAAAATGTTGAGCTTATGGGTCTGGACAACTACTGTGATTCCTAAGAAAATTTACAGTTTCTATTTCTATAAGTCCATGTTGTTTATTTATAGTCTTGAACTTTAGGCTAAGTTTCTTTTCATCTGATAATTTACTCTCTGCCGGTATCTAAGTGTACCGCATGATTGCTTTTAACATTGCGTTATCCCCCTTTTGGCTTACAGCAGATACGGTACAGAAGCACGGTATTATGTTTAATTTCACCCCTTTTCTTTGATCCACCGGCAAATAGCTCTATTTTAAATGACATATGATGTTTAATTTTCTTCATGACCGGTGAAAGGTAATATTGAGTCTACCCTCCAAGGTTAATGACTACTATATTTGCCGTTGAATAAAGTTTTATCGTCATGTTTGGTTGAATTTGCCGCATGTGTGCTTCCTATTAACCTATCCTCCCTCCTCCCTCCTTCCTCCGTCCTCCCTCCTCCCTCCTCCCTCCTCCCTCTTTTACTATCTTTCTGCTACAGTGTGTCATTGTGTGTCTTTTCCATCTCTTGATAGAACTATATGGATCCATGTGGACATAGGTGGATCAGTGTTTGTGCTTGTTTTTCTCCCTCTCTCTCCGTAGAGCTTTAAAACAAATCTCTTTACCTTCATTTTTCTCTCTTCAATTTCAGTAATATATTTATCTGTTTTGTTGTCATTTTATTTATCTCTCCCACTCTCTCCCTCTCCCCCTTTTCCTTCAGCTTTCTCTTTCTCTTTATTCTTTATTTATTTTCTGCCACCCTCCTTCATTCCTCTCTCTCTCTCTTTCTCTCTCTCTCTCTCTTTCTAAATCATCTCTCTCTCTTCTCTTCTTCCCTATCTCTCTTCTCATGTTCTCTTTTCTCCTCTCCCCACTCTTTCTTTCTCTCTTTCTCTCTTTCTTTCTTTCACTCACACCCTCTCCTACCCTCTCACACCCTCCCCCTCTCTCTCTTCAATTTCTCTCAGCTGCATGTGCATGTCTGTCACCGTCTGTTTTTGTCTGTTGTATCATGTCTTAGACTCTTGTCTCTCTTCAAGTGCTCTCTGCTTACACCTTCTCCACAACCCTGCCATTAATTATCAGACTTTAGTTCATTTATATTCTAACTGTGCCCTACACTTTGCCTTCAACCACACAATCCTCAGAACCTGTAATGCATTTAACAGTGATGGACAGAACAAGTGTATAAAACAAAAGCAAATGATTACCACAATGATGTGTCCTTTCATCTATTGTAGCCTTAACAAAATACAAAGTGCAATACCGTAAGTATGGCTGGCTAATTCTGATTGCATTTTCAATCGTCTCTCTTATTTAAAAGATATGTGGTCAACATACACTGTCTGTCTACAAGCAACTGTCATGCTTAAAGCAACTAAATGAAGTATTTGTATTTGACAACGACTTTGTAATGCCTTTTGTGGTTTTAAGAATCTTAGAGCTGATGCACTATAGTATATACATCCAGTTCAATTAGAGAATCTTTAAAGTCTTTTCAGTATATCGTCAATACAATGTTTATTATAAAAGATAAGTAAGGAGAAAGTTTTTCAAGTGGATTTTTTTCTGCAAGATCTTACAATTATATACCTAAGCAAACTTGTTGACAAGTTTGTACAATTTCCATGACTAGAATAAGATGGAGGGAATTAGAAGAAACTCAATAAAGTTCAGGTGGTAAGCAGATTGGAACGAAATATGGTGAATGCACTCTTACTCTCTTCCATATGAATAAAAACATGGATCGCAGATTAATTTCACATCATATCTAGTTTTTCCATGGGTCTTTACTGATCCATTGTTGGTTTTAACTTTGTTACAATCATTGAAAAAAATATAATAAAAAAATTATTATATTATTATATTATTATATTATTATATTATTATATTATTGTATTATTATATCATTATATTATTATATTATTATATTATTATATTATTATTATTATTTTATTATTATATTATAATAATATATTATTATCGTTATTATTATCACTATCATCATCATCATCATCATCATCGTCATCATCATCATCATCATCATCATCATCATCATCATTGTCCTTTGGCAAGACATTGATCTACATTTGCCGCACTCCACCCAGGTGAAGTAAATGGGTACCTGGTAGGAATTTATTCCTTGAAATGCTAGAGCGCTGTATGGCAGCTGTGCTAAAGCAAGGGTAATAATCGGGAGTGCCAGGAGTGTCAAATCTGACTGAAATGAGCGCTATACAAGAACCCACTATTATTATTATTATCATCATTATTTTATTGTCATTTCATTCAGTTGTTTTGTCTTTTAACAGAGTTGTTTGATGGAGAGAGGATGAAGCTTGGGAGGCGTGTCATCCAAGCCAACCACACAGCAGTGGCTCAGCAGTACGCCAAGAGTGGCTGCCCGAGTGGCCTCAGGGGTCAAATCTGGAAGCGGATCCTTGGAGTAGCAGTCGATGATGCGGTAAGTATAGTGGCAGATGAATATCCTAGTTTCAAGCTTTTCATACAAGAGTTTGTTAAAACCAATCATGAAAGTTCATCCTTGTTGATAATGTGTATGTTTGAAAGTTAAACTTTAGATCTCAAAACAAAATCTTTACCTCTGAAATCTTCAGGTGTTCAGCTACAGCTATCATCAGTGATGTGACCCGCCTTGATCGTTCTGAGGTTTTGCTAAAACTTGCATTTCCACTGTCACTTGAATCTCAGCACTTTCCCAGTACCCTAACACCTTCTCATTTGCACTTTTTTTCTTTTTCTTTTTACAAACTTCCCTCGAAACTCGCTCTCTTTAGACATTGTCAGTATGTGCCTAGTGTTGCGGATAAAAACAGTTCACCGAAGTGCACTACTTTTTTTTGTTGAATCACGCAAAGTATGTCTTGCGCTCCAAGGTGTCGATGATTTATTCATGTGGTAGAACAAGATCCGCAGTTTGTGGATTGGGTTACCTAAGTTGTGCCGCCTGTATTTTTCCGAATCAAATTAGTGAGAATCTCTTCAAGGATGTTCGACAGGGGCAACGCACCTCTTTGGTAGTCTACCTGTGCTCACTGTATCATTTGCAGCCTTGTGTGAGAGAACCTGTATATATAATGAAGCCATGCGATCGAGTGCCATAGAGGTTAAGATACTATACATGAATGGCCATTGAATGCCCGGAGGCCAGAGTATTGCTGTGATGCCTAGCTCACTGGATACAATGGACCTTCTTCACCTCTTCCTTGCCACGGGCGTCAAATCTCGCCTGAGACTTTGAATCTTTAACAATGTGTGCGTACTTTCAAAGAATGGCTGCATGTACATCCTTTTTCCTGACACTAAACTGGTGATTTTTTTTTCTCCAAGAAACAATTAAAATGTAACTCTGAAAGTCCATTTTAATTAAAAAAACTTAATTGTTGTTGCCAAAGACAGGGATGAAATGGCAAAGATTGCGCCCATTTTGCGCAACTCTTGATCTTTTCATAATTTGTAGGGGGGATTTATGCCCTATGACATATCAAAATGGTATCCTGCATTTAATTATGTCAACATGCTTTAACCTATAAATGTGTCATCTACCTATATTTCTTTTTATTTGAGACCTCACCTACATTTAAAGTTCACTTTATCATTCCCCATCCTTATTCAGAAAATATATCAATTAGTCTGAATTACTCAAAGAGGTCTCAAATTGTTTTCTTCCCAGTCAGTTTGATGCTAAATTACTCTCTTTTTTTCTCCATAACCTATCATTTCACTCATACCTGTATAATGTGACACATTGGGGGCAACTGCATATTTCTTGTGGAACTGCAGAACAAGTGAAAACTTTTATATCGCTATCATCTGAAGATGGGATTTGATACGGGGGCGGCTATATCAAGTGATCAGCAGGATCAATGCTGAACCCAGAAATAGCGCCATATACTTTTTTTCTCTGCATCTCTTTTCACACAAGGCATCCCCAAGACCTGTATTTTGTCAAGATGGAATTAAAAACACTTGCATTTATAATTGATAAATATACATGTACATCAACCCTCCGGGGATGAACATTGTATATCAAAAGATTACCTACAGAGCTGTTGTTGAAGTCACAAATATGTCTCTACATTTCTTCAGAAATTCCATTTCTTTTGCTTAGAATCATATGAGCATGATTTAATGCCCTTAAAGGTACTATGTCCCATTTGCAGGCCAAAAAAATGAAAAAAGTAAAATTTCAACTGCATTTGAAAGAAAACACTTATTTAGAACTTCCCTAAAAAAGGTGGGGCTTGAAAATGTCTCCAAGTGTTAAAATAATGACTATTAGTTGTCAAATCGACTTTAGAGCTATAGAGCCCAAAAGTAATAGTCTTGATTTTCAGACAATTGTACCGAATGGTCATACGTTTTATGCTGAGCAAAGATTCAATCACTTTAATCTTGGCCATCACAAGAAGTGGGTTATTGATGTAGACAAATGCTCATGTACCCTTTACAACTCTTTTCATGTATGTTATTACTAAAGAAGAAAAAAAGCCAGTCAGTCACTCAATAGTGTCTGACAGTGAAGTCTAGCAAGTAGACGGGTTTCCTTGCATAATTTGAATATGAGGACACTGCTAACGTTTAAATTTCACAGATAGGACATACATGACATATTCATAATTCCTGCAAAGTTCTACAGAATGTGAGGTTGGCTGCAAAAGGGACATAGTACCTTTAATACTATCAGCATCCAATTATCATCATGCATCTGCCACCCTGCATTCATCCAATACCATTTGGGCTCCTAATTTCACACTTTTTATCGAAGATGTAATTGCTTCTTGTTTACTTATGTTTATGGATGGGTCCAATGGAAGGGGAAGGAGCACATCTGAAAATCTTTTAACAAGCAAGCCTCTGCCACCCCCACCCCAACCCAACCAAAACTCCCCCCAAACCCAACCAAACTCCCAAAAGAAAGCATAAATGGTTAAATCTTTTTAGGTTAAATCATTTCTAAGGGTACAATAATGCGATTATACATTCAAAGCATTTGTCTTTGTTTTTTAAAGTTTTTTTTCTATTTAAAATATATTATGTTTGGCGTCTTGTTTGTTTGGATAATAACCCTATCATGTCACAATTTGATTTTAATAAATGATTTGAATTTGATTTTTAACTCCCAAATCTCTGACAAGGGCCCCCTCCCCAATAAAGAAAAGAGGATAGAAAGAGAAAGAAAGGTTATCACATTTTCAGGTGCCTGTGAGCTTGAAAAGGGCGATGGAAAGGGGGCCCCCATTACAGCCACACATGCTTGTGGTACACAGCGAGTCCTGTCAAGGTCATTATCATGAAACATAGTTTGTGAAGCTTGATTTGAAAACAATTTGATTAGTCTTGAGTCTCCCTGGGAGAACAAGTTCAATTTGTCATAAATGATCCCCTGCCGCACATTATTTCTACGCATGATGGGAAAAGTGCTTATATCGCTAACGGCTTTCAGACCGTCAGAGACAGGAACCTCCCGCGGTAGTCCCGTCATCTTATGTAGCCCCTCTTGGCTAGCCCCATGGTACATTTAACTGTGCAGGTAGCTAGTCTACCACTGTAAACTGCTCTTCGTGTTTGCAGGTTTCTCTTTCTTGTTAAACAACGGGGCATGTCTAGCATAGAATACAGTTTCTTGGATATATTTTTTTCCAGAACAATATGCTACCATATATTAATATTTTTTCATTTAGAATATCAATTCTAAGATCTTTAATTGTCAATCTATCTTCCGTTCTTTAATCAAGAGTATTAAATGTGTAAACACTAAGTTGTAAATCATTAAGAAGGCCTAGAGAATCTTGCTTTGACAGGGAAAATTGTGTGAAGGAGAAGTGGGAGAAGAAGGAGGGTACTTTCGATGGACAGTTTGCAGAAATTGTTGGGAGAGAGAGGAGTGAAAGAAGTGGGAGTGGTGCTAATAGAGAAGGCTAGGAGCCGAGGGTTGTGGAACAGCATGATCGCCAAAGTCAATCGAGAGAGAGAGAGAGAGACTACCTTAGATTCATAAAGTAATTAGCTATGGTTATGGCTATTTAAAAATCAGTACATGAAAAAAAAGATATGTTAAATAAATAGTTTTGTCTTCTGCTCACAACCAAACCCAAACGTCAATTCATGAGGCTGGCATTCTACAACAGTATGATGATAAAGTAACACAATTATCCTATCATACCCGGCCTTATTGAGTAAACTAATCAGTTTCTGAAAGAGTTCCCTTCAAGGTCATCCCTTCAAGGTCATCCATTGCCAGACTATGAGCGCAGATCATGTGACTAAATGCATCTCGTTGGGTTTCATTCTATTCCATATCAATGTAAAGCTATCTGTCCCATACGGCAAGTACATGCAAGTGGCTAGAAAATGATGGTAGTTTCAAGAAAAGATAAGATTGCACCCGAGGGAAAGAAATATGTGTTCCCTCTGCCGAAAAAATTGTTGGATGGGATGGGAGTCCGTTGAATGGTGAGATGGAGAGGGGATTCGCACATTGTTCCAGAAGTGAAATATAAGGTCACATAGCGAAATGGAGTAGCATGAAGAGATGCATCCGGAACGAAAACTGCATAATTGTTGAAATCTTAATTTTATCACCAAGGGGTAGAATGACATTGTTAGGATATGGAGATGGTAAATGCATGTATCATCTTTACAAGTACAATTTATGATATCCCCTTTGTTATGATGATTACGATCTTAACTTCATTTACACTTTTTGTTTAAGGTAACCCTTCATATCTAGTGGACAAACTTTATTTGGGATGTTCTTTTTTTTTAATGAGAGTCTACTGTCAATTTCATTGATACTTATCATGATATGTGTTCTTTCTTGCATTTGGGTTTGGTAACCTTTGAGTTTCATACGCTATTTGAGATAAACACATTATGCTCCTTATGCGTGTGAAATGACGCAGTAGACAAGTGAGCAGATTGAACTTGAATATTATGAGACAAGATGTAAGTAGGCTATTCAAAATAATTAAAAGTTATCATATGGATTGAAATAAGGTTTTGTGAAAGCCTAGATATATTGCATCATTTTAAACAATGAAACAATGAAGCAAGAGGCATTTGAACTTTTAAAAGGAATTAAGACCCCAAAAAAGCACTTGCACATGGCCTGACCCACATTTGTTTCATCAGCCCGAACTTGGTACAAGGTGATTTTGACAACACTTTTTAAAGACCCTGTTGCTCAGTGACCCGTGGCAGAAATATTTTGAATAGGGTATCATTGGACAGAAAACAAGTTATTCTTAATCATGAAATAGATTTCAAAGTCATATTGGTTATTACTTTTTAATTAGAGCCACCAAAGTGGGTTACACTTTTTTTATACGCACTGTATTGAGCACGATGTAGGAGAGAAGTGATTAAAAAGTTGGGTTTATGGGAACAGGCCCTAATGCGTGTGAATGTTTTGCCATGGGGATAACACTACTCTAGTGCTGTAAGTACATGAATTTTTTATTGATAAGATATAGAGAAAAAGAAGAAGAAAAGGGACCCAAATTAACATGCAACTGAATAAATTGAGAGGGGGTTAGGGAGAAGGGGAGAGGGGGGAGAGAGAGAGAGAGAGAGAGAGAGAGAGAGAGAGAGAGAGAAGGAGGAGGCAGACAGCCCCTAGTCATTTTGCGTTCATATGACTGTATGGTGAAAAGAATCAAAAGTGTAGAGGAGGAAGACAAAAAGAAAGGAAGAGGAAAGAAGAAGGAGAAGCAGACAAAGAAAGAGAAGAAGAGGGAGGAAAGAGAAGATAAGGAATATGAAGGAGAATAAAAGAAAGAAAAATAAATAAGAAGAGAACAAGGAGGAGGTAAAGGAAGAGGAGATAAAGAAGAAGATAACAAAGCAGAAAAATGATTTCTCAAGAGTAGGAAGGTTTAGGTTGATAGAACTGCATTTATCTTTGATCAGTTTGACATTAATTTGCAAGATTTTATTCTTTTCCAGCAATTTGTGTAATTTTATGTTATGTTTTGTTTTGTTATTTTGAGCAAACTAAACATCTATTAGAGCAACCAATATAATGGGGTATTACAAGTTATCTCTTTCAATTGAGCACTTGGGTAAAATAAACCTGCGTGAAATTTGAAAATGATCCCCGATCTTGGAATTGCTCGACTGGGGAAATTGTTTTCATTGATTCAAATCGGTTGCTTCACAGCATTCCAAAATATTTGATTGCAATTTAAAGGCTGAGATCCAACAACAAGCTGAGATTGCTATGTGAAATGGCTCATTTAATGCCTAAGTTGAGTGCATCCCAACATATCAAACATTTGATATCATTTTAAAGACTGAATAAACATATATTTGCAGTGGCAAATAGAGGATTCATAACTTTTTGTGCATCTAATTTTCCTTGGTTTACTTTATGTTATACCGTGTTTGTTTCGCTACGGCTTTGCAGATGTTCCTTGTGCCCATGGTCCTCCCCCCCCCCCCCATATAATTCAGATCTGACTGAGAATGTTTCATGTAATACCCCAACCAACGCCTTAATACTGTAGATTGATTGCATCAAACCAAACTAAGTAAAGTACATGTAGACGTGCTCTAACAAAATCAAACTGCAATGCCTCGATGAGTCTTGCCTCTCATCCTTGTCCTTTCAAACTTTTTTATTAATAGCAACTGTCAAAATTCTTTGAAACATTTTGCCTCATCTAATCAGATGCAATGTTTTCAGTAAGTTCGATCAGCGTTTAGAGCATTATTGATTAGAAGTGTCATGAAAGAGGACCCAGATGAACTCTTGGATTGTTGTTTAAATTTTGAGTGAAGATCAATCAACGTTAACTCTTGCAAATGGGAACTGTGAGGTCCTTGTGTGAAGCTAATGGGAGTGAGATAATTCGGTACTCAGCGGGTTAAAGAGTTGAGACTGGTCTGTGTTATTGCGTACTTGAAATACCTCAATACATTGATTTAGACGGTACTCGTCAATAAGAAAGTCATGATGGGCGGCCTCTAGTCGTGCCTCTCATCTACCCACCCACTTTGAGGTGCACATTCACCGGGCTGTGGCCGACCAATATTCAGTTTCAACCTAGGAATAGGGAAAGATGAATAGGGAAAGATGACTAGAGAGGGGATAGAAAAAAAAGGAAAGAGAGGAATTAAGAGACTGACAGAAAGTTAAAGATAGATAGAGACAGATAGACAGAAAGTAAGAGATAGATA